ATTTGGTTCTTCGTAATTGAATTCTATTTTACAATTTTATTTTCACAGAAATTTGTTTTGGGGAAATGTTAAGTTAATTTATAACTTTATTGTATAATTTGTGACGTTCCGAAATTTTCTCGGGTTTCGTATTTGACGGCTAATTTAAAAATCCCCTAAAGTCACTCTGTATTTGTACATTAAATAGTAAATCATGCATAAATGTCGCCAGATAATCCCTGACATCCGTGATATCCCAGTTGACGCGTTTCTGCTCAAGAGAAACCCTCTTTGAGATGTATGGCGGCTTGTTTACCCCAAACTATCGTCCGAGGACGCTGTTAGAGAATCCGTCTCTGTCAGCTTCACGACACGAGCTAACTGAAGGACCTACTAGAGCGGCCAATGTATCTTGAATCAGGAAAAAAGGGAAGACAGCAAGAAATTGTCTATAAGGATAGATTGAACGTATCGCACGAGCATTTCGGTGTTGAAAACAAAAAAATAATCGAGTGTTTAATTGACTGTTCGACGAAATTGAAAACGTTGCAGCTTTTCGTTTAGTACAGTTTATGATAAAATCGCGAAGTGAAGCTATTTTTAGTATTGTTTATCTGTTCTTATATATTTTTTCCTGACAGAAATTAGTTTTGTTATAAACGAATAAATAGAAATTACATTTATTATCTGAGGTTCTAGAATTTCGAAGATGTACATATTATGAAACTGGAGTTTCCTGAGAGCAAACTAGAAATTCTAGTTTCTAACGATAGCACGAATTTAATTTAATTTAATTATATTTAACTGCAATAATTTTTCAAATGTGTTATTTTAATACTTTTATTCGTAAAATATTCAAAATAATAGGCGCAATTTAAAAGTACTAAAAAAGAAATGCAATTACATTTTTTCGGTGCGTTATTACTTAAAAAAAAGAATCACTGCATTATCAGGGAAAATTTCTCATATCATGTTTCTCAAATTTTTCAATTAAAATTGCATAGCAGAGAACAGAAAGCGCAGCTTGCAACTGTATGGTACTTCCTCATTAAACTCTAACTCCTTCTGCAAGTACACAAACGACCATAAGTTTGGAATCACCTTCCAACTTAAATCAACATTGATTCTTTTGCTAATTCCTTACAGATTTAAAATTGATGTTGTCAATAGCAATTTACCTCGTTTCGATTTTTTTTAATAATATAAAATTGTTCAAAAAAATTCTGAAAATTGTCTAGAAATTTTGGTGCAACTTGCAACGTACAGAGATATCAACTTGAAGCATAATTTGACAAAATTTGCCCTGCAATTTTTTCACCTCAGGTTCGCTTCTTTTCCATCGTAACGCGAACTAACAATAACACGGAACAATAGAATCACCTGGCAGGCTTCCGCTAGAGAGAACGTATTGCGGATCGTTTATTTCCACGCAGCGTGAAACAAGATTCGCCGGGAGAACGTTGTCCTAACGATGTGATTTATCGTTGACCATCACCTTCTCGACCTCTGTTGTAACGTCAAACCACGTGTAGACGGAAATCTATGTGGCGAGGTTTGCCTGTACGCGACAATACTTGTTAAACGAGCCACCATGAGAGATCTCTAGATTCGCGGTGAGGGATAAGCGGCTTACTGAAATATCTGCCGGTCCAGCAAATCGTTGCCGATGCATCCAGAATCAGTCAACAATGTCCCAAACGTCGAAGAGTTAATGGAAGAGAAACAGTCTCCTGTCGAGCGGGAATTTCACTTGGAATTTATGTAAAGCCGCGTTCGTTGTCATTCCACAAAGAGCCCCGATGTCTTTGCCGTTAAGAGCTTTCCCAGCCGAGTTTTATGATACCGACGATCGAAACGCGCTGTTTTCCCGAGGAACGGTTTGATTAAATGGTTTTCTGTGTCGGTTTTTGGTTAGGCTGAAGTGTGCAACGAATGGTTAAAAATTATATTATTGCCTGAAGTGGAGGAAGTCACTTTGATTGAATAAATTTTCAATTTTTTAACAAAAGTGTCACAGATGAGTTTCAAAATTAAATTGCTATTATAACACGACAGAATGGTCGAGTTATATGCTTTTAAGTACTTTTATTTTAAGTAATTTTAAATGCTTTTAATGTTTCACTCAAACGAATTACTTTTTTAAATGCTTTTCGTGTTTAAATACCCTTCTGGTTAAAAGTAACTCAGTCTTCATTTTTAAAAGTGTTACTACATTAAAGGAGTGCTTACCTATTTAACACTGAACAAATTACCAACGTTGTAAGGTATCTATTTTACGTCTACAGAGTGGCCCATTTTAATCTGCAAATGTTTATATTTCGAAAAGGTCATTGACCTGGAAAACTTATCTTTTAAAGATAAAAAAGTGTAGAGGGACACTAGAAACGTAAGAATATAAATTCACTGTAGCATTTTCACATGTTTTGATCAAGTCATAAAACATATGTCATTGAACTTGTTTCATACCATTTAGGATAATTCAATTGATCTTCAAACGAGCATAATGCTTCCACTAAGAATTACTCTGTACACTATAAAAATGACTTTATCTTCCATATGATTTAAAATGGTAATTTTAAAAATACTATGCTTAGAAATATTCGCATTTTTCATGATTTTACGTTGTATGTCATTCTTCTCATAGACAACTTTCTCTACGTGTGCAATATTATAATTATTTTTCGTAATAAAAATTTCACAACGCGTATTTCTTCTCGTATAGTACACGGAGCGCTTGTATTTTTATTTTCAGACAGCATGTATAGGGTAGTCCATATATGTCAGTGCGTAACTCTGAGTAGCTTATATTTGGAAAACCGTTCGATCAATTTTAATCGTTCTGGTCTGAAATTTTATGGGTCCCGGGGGTCGTTAAATCTGTGTTACGGTTGACGTTCACTTACCCTACTCCCCAGGGTCTGGAACGAGAGTTGACTTAAAAATTTGAAACACCAACCTATGTAAACTCGAGCATTGACGTAATCTACTTTAGAAAACAAGCAACTCCACTCTAAAAAAAAAAACTCGCTTTCCGATCACCGACTGCCTCAGAAGTTTAAAACTAACGACGAAAAGATACTGGCAGAGAAAATATTTAACTATGAATGAAAATTTAATGGAAATTCGACGCGAAGATCTGTGTGAAATTATTCGAGGTGAATTCTATGCTTGGCAGTATTTTAAGTTGAAAATTGTATCGTTAATTTTTTTTTTTGAATTGCAATAAGAAATGAAACGATAGAAAAATATTCGTCGTTTGAAATCTGTTAATTTATTTATTTACGAAAATATTGTTCGAGATAAATTTTTAACTTGGCAATATTCTATATAGAAAATTGTATCATTATCTTAATGCCATAACCTGACCTTTGTTGTACCATTCTGCCGCGAATATTTTCACTTTCGAAATTAAATTGCAATAAATAATGAAGCTATAGAAAAGTGTTCTCTTAATTCATCGAATACACGTGGAGTCACAGTTAAGAAGAAAAATATTAAAAATACAGTTCTTCGCTAGTTACAAACAAATAACTTGAATATTTCGATAAATCGTCCAAAAAATTTGCTACTTTCTACACACAGTGGTATCAGTTAACAGAATCAACAAAAGAGTCCATTACTTACCTGTATCCCATCGTAGCATCCCAATATCGATCTAGGGATGCTCTCGAAAAACTAACACATTTCATTCCAAGTTATTAAACAACGAGGTTTATTATCCATATATACAAACGTTTACATGCTCGTTAAAACGCTCGACCGATCGATTAACCAAGCGGTAACACACGTTCGCCGGTGAAACGCGCTCTCATTCTCACACGATACACCAAGTATTCTCATGAAACAATGTTTAACACGAAACCACGGTACTGAGATCAGGAGTATGGGAAGCTTCCGTCTTTGGAAACGAACATTCAAAGGAAGGAGATTTATTGTCTATGTACAAACACCGTGACGAACGAGACGCTCCTCTTTTCTTTTTGCTTGTGTTCTTCTCCTTTTGTACATCTATGCTTACGTGTAACTTAAACCTAGGTGAAAAATAATAGCCAAGACTTCGACAGTTCAGGAGGGAATCTTAACGATACTTATTGTCTATTTACAAACGTCGCTCATCCTGTTCTTTCTTTGACGCTTTGGCATGAGTCAATCGTAGTCTCGCGATAGGACAATCATGTGAGCCGTGTGCGCGCTCCTTTGCTCTTTAAATTTGGAAGTCTGATACGACAATTTCAAATTGTCAAGTTCGAAATCTCGACAATCAGAAGCCAAGTGACAGTCGCAGAAACGTTAACCCTTTCGTTCTTCTCGGTGCTGGGATCTTGACGCCTATAGGCGGATTGAATATTCTCTCGCACCGTGCTGTTGACGCTTCTTAGCGCACTTTCAGCTTAATTTGAGCCTTGATTATTGTTCTCTGCGTACCTCCAGCTTAATTTTGAAATTTATATTTCGAATTTTTATTTTTAAAATTTTGAAAAATTTGATCACGCGAAAGCAAAAGATTTTGTCTGCCATATGCGTCGCGACGTAAAATCTGGTGCAGCGAAAGGGTTAAGGAGCCCCCAGACCAGCAAGAAATATTCGCTGAGGCAGTGGCAACGGAATATTCGTAGCGACAGTGAAATTCGCCTGTTTGATCACCAGTGAAGTATGGAAATTTTCGCGAATATTTCACATTGATCTGTAGGATTCGGTGTCTTTATTTCCCCGCGTTTGTCGTTGTTTTCGCGCGGCGAATTTAGAGCGGCGGCGAAGAGAACGCCTTGAAGAGTGAAATTTAATCCGCGGTGAAAAATAGTCGCTAGAACTTGGCGAAATTTTTCACGTTCGTGTGACCACACGCGTGAACTAACTGCCACCGTGTATAACCGTAAAATATTCTCCGTCGCTAAGAATATCTCACGTTGATCCGGGGGATGCTGCTCGAAGAGTAAGAGGAATCGAACCGGCGCTCGACTCGTCAATTTGACCAGCATCGGTCATAGTTACCACGATTGCCAGCAAACCATCAGAGTCGTCTATATACAGCTTTCTTGAACGCGCAAGCTTCTCGTGTAGATATCGTGGCTACGATGCACTGGAAGCGTGCTTGGTCTCAGAGGGCTCAGGTTCTTCTCCACCTTCTCCACACAACCGTTCGAATAGACCCACGAGTCTTTCGTGTGCAACACCGACGAGGGCGACGGATAATCGAGTTCTTCCAGGTGACTGAAATCCTTCGTTTTGTCGGACTTGGCGGTCTCGTAATTCGCCTCGAGGACGTTTGGCCTTTTGTCCATTTTGTTTGGAATCACGTCGGGATCGTCGTCGGCCATATCACCGGCCGTTTGTCCCTTCATCTCGTCCCTCGATTCTTTGTTCAGCGGCGCTATCACCACCCTGTGCTCTTTGTTTCCGTATTGCACCACTTTGCTGTGCGCCTTGATCGATTGCATCGGATGGCTACGCCGGTACAGGGTCAATGTTATGCCGACGATTAGAATGCACACGGCTGTTACCCCGCTGGCGAAACAGGCTACCAGGAGGCTGTAGTCGGTGCTGTCGTCGGATGTTCCGCGATCTGAGGACAGAAGAGAACGTGACTCGCGTAAAGGACCGAGGTTTTCTCGAGAAGAAGCAGAGATGCTAACGAGCCTCGTTGCAGAGAACAGATTATTCCAAGATTGTGATACAGTTCAGGTTGTTGTTTATTAGGTATGGTTCCTGGAGTGCTAGGATACCGAGTGTTGCCTGGTTTTATTCGTTACAATTGTTCCCCATTGAGCTGAGCTATTTTTATTTTGTGCTGGTCATTCTTGGCGTTATTTCAGTTAATTAATTTGTTCTATTTAGGTACAAGCCTATTGCTGCTCTGTAAACTGGGCAATGTTTATTTATAGATGAATGATTACAGGACTCGCCGGCTCTCTGACGTTTGCTATTCTTGAACACCGAACTCTGTACAATATTAGAACTCGAATGTGTTTATTTGCAGTCTAATTGTTAACACGTTGACTGCTACGCCACATTTACAGGTTTTACTCAGGGGGCCACTATGCATTATTCTCTATTATTATTATTTCTTTTTTAATTCAAAATAATGTCTAGTTAGCTATGACGTTCGAAATTTTTAGTTGACGATATTCATTTTATTTTAATTATTTGAAACATTTGAGGAAGCAATCTCTGGTCATAGGTGACCACTATGGCAGTCAACATGTTAAAGTTGCCGAAAGCTGTGTCGGTAAATAAAAATCAAATTTGTTTGCTATAACAATCAAGCTTCTTGCAACGTGTAGAGAGCCTGCTACAAGCTTTTTAAAACTGCTGACGACTGTTAACGTGTAGCCGTCTGTGATCGACGAAAGTTTTTCCAACGTTATCGCTACGGATCGATCGAGTATATTGTGTGTGTGTGTGTGTAGGTAACACAGCGTAGATTTTATGTTCGCAGATAGGACATGGGATAATTGAATTTCGTTATTGAACGGCAGCCAATTTCGAAATTTCGCCTTGACGCGCCGCGGCTACGTTTGCGCAGTTAGAAATGTAATTAAGACTCATTCGACCGGCTGCGGTGAATTTTGTAATGGATCCTCGACGATTTAATTAGCCGCGTTTCCGAAAGGTCCGTCGGGAGGAATTGAAACGACCCAGGAGTTGTTTTTTCTTTTTTTTTGCAGAGTGGATCAATTGTTATTCGATGAGGAATTATGATGTCAATTGTGCTGGTTAGCGGAAGATGAATTTAATTTCTAGTGTAGATTGAATGGTTACAATCCGTTTCGTTTCTTCGTGGAGAATTTGTAGCAGTTCGTTGTATATAATTGTGAAAATAGATTTATAAATTTTACTTTATGTGCTACGCGAGAATAAAGCGTGTCACGTGATATTTAAACAAAGTGTATTAATAATGTTTAAAGAGTTCAATCCTTCAATTGTTCACTTCTATTTTTATATAGAAAAAAGTTAATTTTAGATTTAAATTTAAGTAAATGTAAGTTTAGAAATTAAAGATTTAAGTTTCAATAATTTTAAGTTCAGAAATTAGAAATTTGAATTTAATCAAAATTGAAGAATTTATAACCAATTACACTGGCTAGTTTAGAAAAGAAAATAATGGCAAATACACCTAATATCGCTTAGCACGTAATAATTACAACAATAATTTTCTCCTGATAAATTATTAACGAGGCAATATTAAAACTTTCACAACACTTACACCGAAACCTCCATAAAAACGAACAAAATTATAAAAACACGAAATGCTGAAATTACCCTAATGCCCACAGTCTCCAATTAAACATTCCCTCGCAACCTAGAAATGTTCAAAATTACTGGAATATTTTCATATCCCGTAATGTCGCCAATTAACGATTAATTAAAAGCTTGGAGAACCTCTAAAAATTGTACAACGAGGCTGGAGAAATTTCATTTCAAGCGTTACCAGTTTCACGATCATTCGTATTGCGTATTTCGTTACGAAACCAGTCATCGTCAGTTCATCAACGAAGAAAAGGATCATGACTTGGACGTTCCTTTCTGAACGAAACGACGAGAGACTCGTCTCAGTTTCGTCGTAAGGAACGTTCGAATCAGACGACGACAACGTCGCGTCGTTGGTACGTAAGCGTTTCAGACGTGTCCGGCAAACGAGATTTGCTTCTTCCTGTATTTATTGGATCACGAAGAAAACGTAAAGAACTTCCGGTAGGAAAGATTAAGAAGGAAAAGAGGAAGAGACTGGACCACTGACGACGATGGCCGAGGCTCTTTGGCATTCAGAAAACGCTTTGGTTCGTTAGCCAACGAACGGTTTCGTATGTGCACGCTCATCTGTGTGCAGTTGCGCCGATGTGTACGTATCTATTCCCGGGCAAACATATACTGCGATAATTTGATTTATGTACGGCTAACGTTTGCAGGCAATTTGTAATCAAGGTAAATACTTCATAGTACACCGGTTTAACTTTAAACGAAATTAGCGAAGAAAGGGGTAGGATTCGGAGGAGATGGAGTCGTTTGTGCGTAGCTAAAAAGGAATTGTTTCGAGTACGCTCGTTGTTCGGGAGTATTGGGACAGTTATTGAATGTGAAGCAAACGTAATCGTTGTATTTGTAGTGTTAATTTCAAATTTTAATTTAAGCGAATTTAAGTTTGGGGAGATCCTGAAATTTTTTTAAATCCTTGTTGAGATCTTGAAAAAAAAAAAAAAAATGATTCGGTCTTGAGTTTCGCAGTACATACGATAAAATATCTATTTCCATTTAATAGTGTGTCACTGGTTATGTCACACCAATCATTGTCACGAAATTGAGTTTAAAAATGAGTTTTGTAGCGAGTCGTTGAATTTGTCTCTCCAACCACTTCCGTATAATACAATAAAAAATTATAGCTGGCGATTTAAAAAAATTCGTTGTGTCGTCATTACGAGAAAATCATTGCGAATTTAAGCAATCTAACGAAGACATCGTATCGGGTATTAAAAGTAATGAAACTTTGTCCTCTTCTATTTTTGTCACAACTTACAGTGCAATAGTGCTAACACCAAGCTTTGCTTTTGCAAAAAAATTCCCAAAAATTATACAGTGCCGTATTGACTGGCACAACGGCTGCGATATGTGATTCTCTAATTATTTTGAGGAACGTGTCTATCACCCAAAACCTAACCACAGATCTGAAAATAGCCACTTCTCATAAATCGCGAAACGTACAAACGAATCCATCTAATACAATGTTTCCCAACCTTTTTTGAATCATGCACCACCTCAACGCCTCAAAGACTTCAATCCTTCTGATTTTTAAATTTCTGAAGAATATTAAGTTTAAATAGGTACTTGAAATAAAAAAGAAACATAGGTGAAACTATTTTCGATGTAACTTGACTTTCTTCAATGAATACAAATCATGCGTTACACTTTGTATATTACAAGACATAAATCGAACTCAACTCGGCAAAATAATCAACAATTCATCGCCCAAAATGGTGATTTTCCTAACCCAACGTTTTCAAATCACCCGCGAAATTATTCAAATTTCCCGCCAGTGTGGCTTATACACTCTCCATTGAGAAACGGTGATCTAACGTAACGCTACATCTGACCGCGGTAGACGTCACTGAAATGAAGCATAGCAGTACAGAACAAATCCATTTCGTCTAATGCAATCGTTCACGTTCATAAAACCTCTATTTCGCGTTCCTTACGAGGCCACGTTAGCAGGAAATGACGGTGAAACCAGTTGAAACGGGTTCGAAGAGGTTCGTAAAGGTTAGGGGCACGATTGGAGGTGGTCCAGGCCGGGCTCGGCATTATCACTGGAACGTATACAGCCGAGATCTAAAGATGAGCCCGTGTCGCGAACGTGCCTCTACACCGACACACCTATACAACCACACGTGGACCCACGTGAACATACACACACAGATAGATAGAAAGAGAGAAGCGTGCGAACGTTTGCACACACACAAGCGAAATCGTCCACGGGCCAGCATGAATAAACCATGAGGATGGAAATTAAAGGCGATAAATGCGCCTCGAATGAGACAGCAGCGTGGAAAGGGACCCGCTCTTTATGGGATTTTAATTCAGCCTCCGTGAAAAAGGAGGATACCAAGAAACGTATCGTATGCAAGAAGAAAAGCGGCTCAGGAATAGGGGGTTGAAGTTAATGCGGATACGCGTATAATTGCGCTCGTGAAAGCTTGCAACGTGGTGCTCGCGACGCGATGTCACGGGTCGTTGAACTTGTGATACAATTCCGGCTAATTGAGACACGTAACAAATGTCGCGAACGCGTTCCCCTTTTGCCAAAGGACCTCGTTCATGTTTACGCTCTTTTTGTGCCTTGAATATATACTCGACGCCTGGCCTCTCCAGTTTTCCCCATAGTTTCCAACGAGAGATGACGGAAGTGCGTTTATAATGATTTACTCTGCTGTTTATAATTTGGGACGATAATTTAGCTAGCGCGCCAAGGGAAATATCTTGCGGCAATTAAGAACGTCGAAATATTGGTTTAATATCACGATTTTATCGAATTTCTGTTGGTTTCAGTTTAAGTGTGAATGAAGTTATTTGGAAATAATTAAGAGTGATTGCAATGATGTGTGATTCAGTGAAGCTATTTAATACACAGCCTGACTATTTTTCAGAATTTTGTAGTAAATTTAATTATCCTTGAATTCCAGCATCGTGGAAACTGTGGATTTGGTTTTACTGATATGTTGTGAGTGATGGCGTGAATGTCGTGTGTTTGTTTTGAATTTGTGTGAACGTTCTGGGATAGACATGATCTATGGCTGATGCTCGAAACGACTCGAGATTGGCGAAACGGTCAGTGTCTTAGAGAGAAGCAGAGAGTAAACAGTAGAACCGCGTGATTAGTGAAAACAACGAGAGCGAGAGGGAATAAGCGAGAAAGAATAAGAGAGCATTGTTCAGGTTATTAATATTCCCTTTTATGTGTCGTTAATCGTCGTTGCGCAATTGTTATTATCGAATATTCAACCACGTGTTATTCACCCACAGAAACGAAACACAAATCAGCCCGTTTATTTTCGCGGAATTAATATATTTTATTTAACAGAATCCGTTGTGAAAGTTCAATGGAGTTACGAGAATAAACCGTTCTGCTCTTAATCAGTTTTGCATCCAAGTATTTTATATTTTAATTAATTTGGTACTGACGATAGAACGTACTTAATACCGTAGAATTAAAATTACGTGGAACAAGTAGTGCAAATGTGAATTCAATTCAGAATAATAGATATTGTGTTACGTACATATGGAGTAACGTGTAAACTGAAGACAATTGCATGCTACAAATCTACCAAAAAATAACAAATGCAAAATATAATTTTAAGTATAAAAATGTACGTTAAAATCTAAAATATAAATAATATAAAAATTTACAAAAAAAAATGAAAAATATCAAATTGGTTCAACATAATTGATCTGAATTTCTATAAATTAATCGAGTTACACAAAATTCAGTTTTCTTATTTGAGTTGATAGTTTTAAACCTCTACATAGAAAAATTACAGAGATACGTACTCATATGCCAAACTATTACTTCATATTTATCATCACGCCTGAACTATCTGTGTACACATATTTCCAAGACGATAATACTGTAATTATAACACAAGTAGCACAACTACCACTGCAGTCTAACCACCCTCTATATCACACCACGCTTTTTGCTATTCGAGCGATTCTCAATTAGAGAGTCAGAAATTGACTCGTTAATAAACATCTTAAATATACCCAACTGCCACCATCAATAAGCACGAAACAGGCTTAAGCATGCAACGAATGCGGTTCGTGCTCTGTTTTTTCAAAAAGTTTGTTCTGCTTAAAAAAAAAAAAAAAAAAAAATTGTAGAGAAAGAAAGAACGAACTCACCGGTGGTGTACATAGCAACTGCTTTGAGCGTGACCGGTTCGAGGACCACAGGATCGCTTCGTCCCTTAGCGTTGACAGCGTACAGATGTAACCTATATTTACGACCGGGTTCTAAACCAGGAACCTCGAAAACCGGACCGGACGAACTGGATTTCTCTGTGTGGTTCAAGTAGATGGTATTGACGTGATAAACGTTCTGCTCGCTATAGACCTCCAGTTCGTAATTAGTTAAGGGCAAACCGCCGTCAAATCCTCCGGAGCATCTCACGATTAACCAGTCCGCGTCCCTCGAGTCGGTGGCTTTAAAATCCTCGTGGCCTATTGTACGGAGGAAAAAAAGCGGAGGAGGCTTTGAAGAAGAGCGACCGAAGGGAAGAGCTTTTTCGTGTTACGGAATATAACGTTCTTAATTTTCTAATATTCCACTGATTGATTCTATTTTATGGTACTTCGTGTGTAATCTGTTTCTATTAAGTTTCTTGTATTTTTGTGGATAATTACTCTTTCAATTAAAATAACGTTTCTTCTTTTAGGAATTTTGTAATTTGTACTGGAGGAACATTTACAGGATGACGATTTAACTAATTGTAAGAATCTGCAGATTTATTACAGCTTTACGCCGAAAGTAGTGATAGTGCGATTTTCACAATCTTTAACCGTTTGTAGCTCATAGAAACATTAACCGATTTCGATGAAATTTTCAGCGTGCGTATCATTGACATAGATCTACAAAACGTATTTTTTAGATTTTCATTTCGAGCTGAAATAAAAAAATTGTAAAAACGACCTTCGCTATTTTCGTTTTTTTCAAAAATTTATACAAACGTCGGAATGACGGCAAAAAACCATTTCTCTAATCCTTATAAAAATAGCGGTGCAAAGTCAAATTTTTTTGTCAGCAATCGATAACCGAGAAGTCACGCATAAGCGTCGTTCACGATAGCGCACTGGTGAATCTCTGTTCGCTCGTCCCTGAGCGCGGGCGCTACGGGCGCTGTGATTGGCCAGTGTTTTTCGTTAATAACTCGAAAACGAAGCTTCAAACTACATTTTGGACAAGGAAAAAGTTGTTCAGGGTCACCCCAGCAACCCTCCATTCCCGGATTTTCGAAGAGTTACGAGACACCCTGTGTATACGTTGGAAAACAAGCTGTTGAACACAATACGTGGTGGCTATCGAGCGCGGGCCTGTAAACGTCCGTCTATGACGAGCGAACGTAATAGCATAGTTAGCAGGATTTAGGTCAAAAGGAGGGTTCCAGTGTCCCTTACCCATTCGATACGCGTACGGGCCGGTCGACTGAAGGGCTGTACAATTCTGCAAGGGATAGGGTTTCCCGGCAACGATGATCTGAAAAAGACACGGCGTCTTTTGCACCCCTATCCGGTTTTTCGCCCAGCATGCGACCGTTCCGTAGTCCATGTCGTTGGCCGGTGTATAATTCAGTCTGGACCCGTGCCAGTGGCTAGTGATCAAGCTGAGCGGCTTCACATGCGTGAATCTGTTGGCCGGTACGTTCATTAGCTCCCCGGAATTGTTGAAGGTCCAGTGGAAAGTCTTGGGCGGCGGCTTGGACTGCACACCGCAGACCAGAGAGATCGTCTCGTGCTTCAATGCGCCTACCACTTGGGTGGAGGAACCCTCCTTGCAGATCGGGGCGTCTGAAAATGCGACAAGACACGGCTCGAATAATCCACCTAATCACCAATCTTTCCTTTTCACTTCGTTTCTTTTCTTTTCGGGTACAAAGGAATTTTGCCACGACAGCTAATTTCTTCTTTTCTTTTTCTAGAGTTTGCAGGTTTATTAGGTTAGACGAGGTGTTTTGGTTGGAAATGTGGAATACACTGGGGCACCGTTTAACGCGAGAAAAAAATTACTATTACCTTTGTATAACGTGATAAAAAAAAAATAGAGAACATACAAATTCTAAATTCGTAATTTTGTAATTTTGGGTTAATTAAATTTTGCCCTGTGGTCGCTAATGGCGAATAAGCTGACCCGGCGTTAAACAAGTAAATTTAAAAAGGAAAGGAAAAAAATTTGGCCCAAAACGCGACGTCGGTGGAACGTAATTTGTATTATATTTCCTGCGTTATAGGGGGTCCTACTGTGTATGAAATTTTTTAGATGTTTAAATGTATTATAGAAATTATTTGGAGTATTTGTGGTTTAGGAAATTCTAATTTTGTGTATATTAAGAGTTTAGCTTTTTCTTTAAACTATTAGTATACATTTAAACATGTCACAGTTTTAGCATATCTTCAGAGGTGAAGTTTTTAGTAATTGCAAGTAATTAAATAACAATATATAAATTATCTTATTCTCCTTAAGATTGAAAGAAAAAGTGTTTCAGACGAAATTTGTCAAATTCGGAAGAAAATAGTAGAAATAATTTTTTTTCGAAATCATTAATATATGACTTTTAATAGAATCGTTTTGGCTCGTCAATATTATTACAACATAAGTGTAATAAATAATACCATGTGATTAAATTTATTCTAGACAATATTTCTGGAAACATTTTTGCACGTCTAATCCCTCGTATTTTCTTTGTACTATAATTTTTATGTTAAATGCTTAACGCTACAACTCACACATTATATCCAGCGTTATAGGCTTGCTGGAAGATTTTCCTTCGTCATTAGATGCCGTACAGGAATATTCACCGGCAGAATTTTTAGTCACGCTTCGTAAAACCAGAGATCGTCCACTGTGAAGGTAAATTCCAGCAGTCGCGTTTCGACGTAGCTCCTTGCCGTCTTTGTACCATATCACCCAATTGTGCGCCTTCGGATTCGCCTGAACCTCGCATTCGAAGTAGACGTCATTACCCTCGTTTATGTCGTTCGCCTTCAGACTTGAACCTAGCTTGATCGACACTATCGGCACATCTGTGAATTGTAAGTGCAATAAGTCAACCCCAGAATACGGTTGAAGTAATTTAAATAATTTAAACACCACCAGTGTTTGAAACAACGAAATTTTCACCATTGAGGAATAAATTTTTTTTTTAATTAATATCTACAGATTTTGAAAATTAGACAGAGTACAGTTATTTTTAGGACTCACTCTGTTTGAATGGCAATTAAATTGTGGTGTTCTTTTAACATTTTCATTCAACTATTTCCGGGTCAAATGTGACCCAATACTAAAATCTTTCGTGCTTAAGCGAAACCACGTTTTTTATTTTATTAGGCATTATATTGTTTAAAATACGTTACGAGTGAAATAACAAATATATTTATAATATAAGAAAAGGAGAGCCGTATCTCAGTTTCTATTGTCGTCTAAATGTCGGGTCAGTGGTGACCCGGCAACCGTCTTCCGAAGGTTAAGAGCATATTCTCGTTTGCGAGCGTGGAAAAAGGTGGTTTCTTCAGAAATTTTTTTCTCGGAAAATATGAATTCGATCAAAAGGAACGTTTAGTACATGATTATAGAGTGTTCAAAGTATCGTTTAGTACTTTTATTTCCAAAATACATATTATATATTGTTCTTAAATATACAAAATATACGTTAGTACAAAATACCTAAATGGAACGTAATATCGTTAACATAGCTACTTTACTGACCAAACAATTTAACGGACCGTGACAATTGAATGCATTTAACACGTTGAAACGCAAGAACGAATTTACCCGAAGAGACAGTTGTAACGATACGAATTAAAGCGAAAGAGTATCATTTTCAGCAAAAGTAGAACTTTCAAAGTGGACGCTTTTGTGCCGTCAGGACGAAAGTGTGTTCATAATTCGTTTAATCTAATTTCAAAAGGTTACCACAAATCAGAGTCAAGTTAAATTTGTTTCACTCACAGTGAACTACCAGTCGCCACCTATCTTCCAACGCGCTGTCAGGTACAACTGGATTTTCCGCCCGACAGGTCAGATATTTCCCGTCGTCTTCCATGGTCGGTACGTAACTCAGCACACTCTCCGTGACGTTCTACGAAGAACTCAGAATCTAATGTAAGCTCGCGCGTATCCGTCGTACAGTATGGAAAATCAAACGTGACGAACGTAGTAGATCCAAGAATGTTATACTCACAGTTCTGGCCATATGTTTGACCTGGTCGTTCCCCTTCCACCAGGTGATCACGGCCTTTGGCTTGGAACCGGAAGTGGCGCATTTGATGTCGTACGTTTTCAACGCGGACAAATACTCTTGTTTGTTCGTGATATTCACTACCAACGGTTTCACTGGAATTCGAAGGAAATCGTCGAATATCGATGTTTCACCGCTGAATTTATGGAAATGTGTTTCAATACGGAAATGTACATTTTTTTCTTTCTTTTTTTTTTTTATTATTAAATTGATACGATATTCGAAACGTTGCTTGGTAAATTATACGTGATTTCGAAATGTTTGTGGAAGGAATAAAAATTTTGGAATATCGAAATTTTTGGGTGAAAGTTACATATACTCTTCGGTTTCGTTACGTTAAGGAATATTTTGCACATTTTCCTGGTGGTGTTTAGTATTTCTCGTTGTTAGTCGAATATGTGATAAAATGACCTGTATTTTATTTTGAAGGAAATAAAATGAATTTTAGGAAGTTTGAGATTGAAAGCTAATTGACGTAAAATATTCCATCGATGAAGAAAAATATTATTTATTTATTATTCTAATTTTATTATTATACGATAATAGTGAATACCTCAATTAGGTAGTATTACAAATGAAACAGTGGAAGCTACGGGAAATTCATTTTAAATCTTTCTTCCAAATTTTCATGCACGAACATAACCTAAAAATCGTATCTTCTCAAAATCACGTTTTCCGTTTCCTTTTGTCATAAATTTGTGACAAAAGTGTGTCTAAAATAGTGTGTCTTACCAGATAATCTAACTCTTCTATGTGCCTACGATATTTAATTTTATATTTAAATTTAATATGCATTTTATATTTAATTTGATAAACATACCAGGTTCTCAATCTACTAAAACACGTGACAAACATTTCGTTAAGTTCACACGCCACGTTTAACGAGAAACAAATATTTCGGTAACGTTAACAAACTGAATCTGTTCGTTATTTACAATTAATATCCAAAGTAATCTCGGCAGTCAGATCAGAGATGAGATTAGTATTGCTCGCCCGGCATATTAGCCTAGCCCCGAGAAATTCCCTGGTGACGTTGAGGATATCGAGACGATTTTTCGTGGTATCACCATGCTCGAATGTATACGTGTTATCCAACATCCTCCCCTCGGAATGCCACGTGACCTTCGGTGGCGGTGAACCCCCGATTACTTCGCACAGTAAGGATAACTCGCTACCCTCGTTGAAGGCCTGCAGTGTCTTGGCCAAACTTCTACCCGCGCCGATGTAAATCACCGGCTTGTTTGGTGGCACTGCCGCAAAGAGAAATTTATGTGAATCGTATAACCTGGGTATTTTGAGCTTTTTTTCTTTTTACACAAATTTTGCTGTCAAATGTTATTTTTCGGCTGAGTTTTTACGACTTATTAATTTAATTTCGTGCGAATGAAATTTGCCGTGTCTTAATTTAGCATTTGAAACGGTTATTTTAGATTTAATCTGATAAAAAATGGCGTATTGAGGAATATTTTTAAACTATTTCATTTTGAAAAAATTCTTTTTCTCATATATCATTTTCATGGAGTGAAGTTTTTTTATTAGTGATATAAAAGTATTTTGTAAAATGTTTAATACATTTTAAAGACGTTACACATTTTTCATTTTACTATTTATCCTGTTTCAATATCGAGTGCAATTTTTCTGTAAAAATGAGAAACTACACAATCCACCATATTTCGTATTAGTAAGATGAATACACAATAATTAAACGCTATAAATGATCCTAGCGCCATAAAGCAGCGCTAAATTGCAGGCAAACGGCTTTACTTAAGCACGCTGCTGCACGCTTGCATGATAAAATTGCTGAAGGTGACGCTCCGTGAAATGAAGTCGCGTGATACTTAAAAAAATACGTAATAACAGATATTCTTTAACACCAATGCGGGAATACGAATGTCACAATAGCACCTGTTGAGCTTGTACCGTGTTCAATTAATTAATTCAAAATCGTGTTAGCATCGTGGACTAAAAGTACCACAGAATTCATAACTAATTTTTCAAACTAATTGAATAATGTCTGTTTTGTTTATTCGTATTACGGTTTCGTTTCGTCACTTATTTTACGAGGAAATTTTAGACAAAATTGATTAAATATAAAAATTATTATTATTAAATTTGGGAATTTGAGAATGATTAAAAATAAAATTTGTATTATTGTGACAATGAATAGGTACATGTACTATAAGAATCTTAGTGGCATTTTTAAAAAGAATAAATAACAAATATTTATTGTGATTAATGTAGAAACTAATTTCAATTGAATACAAAATAGTAATGAAAGTAGCATTAATTTGTACATTATGTTGAGAGAAAGAGAGAGCGACGAGAGAAAAAAGGAGAGACAGAAGAGAGAAACGAGAGAAATAGTGGAAAACAGGAGAGAGAAAATGTGGAAGGGCAGAGAGAAAAGAGAGAGAGAGAGAGAGAGAGCACTCACCTATCACTGTGAGGTTAACTTTCTGATTTCTCGTCGGGCTATTTTTGTAATCCAGTCTACACCTGTACACTCCCGCGTCGGCCGCTTCCAAGAGATCGATCTCCAATCTCGCGGGCTTCACGTTTGTCCTCATGGTCGCCCTTTCGCCGAATACGTCTGGATCTGACCAGAGCCCCGCTTGTGCTATCGATTTCCCGCGAGCGTCCAAGCTGTATATTGGCTCGCCATCCCTTCCGTCTTTGTACCAAAAAACCATGCTCACCACTTCACTCCTGCTAGCTGGATCGATGTCGCAAAGTAATTCAGCTTTCATGCCAGCCACCGCTGATACTTCTATCATCGGAACTGAAAAACACCACAAAACAACAGGGTTATCGTAAAACCTTCAAACACCCACAAAACAGCATTCCTAAATATCTAATAGATTCCTTATCGCGACACGGTTTTAATGATAAAAATAAACTATGGTTCTTTTTGGCCTGCTCTGATCTAAATAATCCTATACAGTCAGCTTTGTTCGACGACTGATTTCATTCTTTCGTATTATATTAAGCACATTTTCAACTTGATTTCAGATCTGGATGGTTTGAAGAGATTTGTTCGATAATGTTTGAAGAGGTTTGAAAAGGTTTATTTGACAATCTTTTATAAGGTTCGTTTGACAATGTTTGAAGAAGTTTGAGAAGGTTTGAAGAGCTTTATTTGATAATGTTTGTACAGGTTTATCAGATAACGTTGTTTACAGATGAAATACAAAATTACTCCATTCTCCACAGAACTTACTAAAACCTCTATATACAACATTAAATTTCTCTCGTCTCCAAACAAACGAAATCCAACGAGCAGCTCAAATCTATATTCCTACAGCCTCTCCGGTTGCGAAACGCGAGTCACCCCGTCGTTCCATACGTTTTCTTCCTAATTCTACTTCCGAATGGCAAGCGCAGACGAATCTGACAATGAAATCCAGGCCACCGCAACGTGCTGGATCCCGTATATTTTCTTGCCGCAACCGCAAATTTCCAGTTTTACTCAGTCGCCGACCAAAAGCAAACTTACTGCAAATTGGTCGAGGCGGTGGATACAAAAGTTGGTACGATCAGCGACAACTATAGCTACAGGTACTGTACGTCGCGAGAAGGCCAATTAATCGGTCTACTTGCCGATTTATGCCTCTGGTCCTTAGGAGTTGCGGCAGCATTGCGATTTTATTGGCTTTCATAGCCACCTCATCAATCGTTCTGCCACCTGACCGACCAACCCCCCTTCCTCTCAACCGACCGCGCTCTAACCTCGTTATCCTTTTCCTCGTAGACCTTAGATACAACGGCAGGTCGGGAAATTGCCCTTCACCGCTTGCGCTGCAGATTAATCACGCGCTACCCCCCATCGATTTGCTGCATGAATGTCCAGCGTTTTTTCTTCGCGTCTCCGTTGTTCGGACGCGCGAGACTGAACAAAACACATTCGGCGAACCAGGAAACGAGCAAAGTGGATGATCTTGTGTACGTGTGTACTCTGCGTAGAAGTGAGTTTGCAATGAGAATTGGAACGTTCCGAAGTGATGATCACCGTTATCGGTGAAACTTTGGTATATTGTAGCACTGAGAAAAATATTCTTTTTTTATTGACAATCGTCCCCGTTGACGGGGGTGAAAATCGCTGTGAAAGATGAAGGTAGTGAATAGTATTCAGTGTAATATCTGGAAAAATATTAGAGTAATTTTAACTGTAATTTTTTCTTCTCATAAACGAAGGAAATTCAGGTTAAGGATGTGGTTGGTTTATGATTTGAAGAATGGAAGATAGTTAATTGGCATTTCGAGAAATATTTCTTCTATACAGACCGATTGGTTCCCAAGTTGTATCGTAAGTGGTTTTAAAATGTGAACGTGTTAAAATAAATAAATTTTGTTGATCTTGTTAAGACGTTTTATTTATTTCAACAATTACATGATCATTTCCAATGGATTGAATTGATACAAAATTTACAGTAAAAGCGAACGTAAACATTCTTACATCTAAGGTGGATGACATTGACTTGTACTACTTGGAAACGAAGAGGTAGCATATGTATAGTTGGATATAGTGTATCATTACTCGATCTATTTCTGGAATACTCGACCCAGTTTAGAAATATTCTCTCACACCTCAAATATTGTTATACCTACAAACCCAACGAAATATTTATTTATTTACGCAGTTATTTCGTAATATATACATATATTTGAGTTGTATATTTTTAAAAATATTCCATCGAAATGGAAAATTCTATTGAACCGTAATTTTTCTTCTGGCGAATAAAGAAAAATCAGGTTATAGGAGGTTAAATGCTGAACATTTAGACTCACACATTATTTCCAGCATTAAAGGCTCGCTGGTAGATTTTCCTTCGGTGTTGAATGCCGCACAGGAATATTCACCGGCTGAATTTCTAGTCACGCTTCGTAAAACCAGAGATCGTCCACTGGGAAAAAAAATTGCAGTAGTCGTTTCTGGATGTAGTTCCTTGCCGTCTTTGTACCAGCTCACAAATGCCTCTGGATTCGCCTGAACGTCGCATTGAAAGTAGACGTCGTCACCGTCGTTTATATCGTTTGCCTTCAGACTCGAATCTAGCTTGATTCTCACTATCGGCGGATCTGAGGATTGCAAGTGTAATAAATCAATGCGTAATTGACACAAGTGCGATCAAGTTAATGCTGTCAAAAGGTACCATCACTTTTTAGAAATTTTTGGTTATTCTTTTTAAATTAATTTCTACAGATTTAAACAGTTACAGGGTATACAGGGTATACAGCTTTAGTCTTGCTCTATTCGAATAGCAATTGAATTGTGGACGAAATTTTTTGATAACAGGAAACTAATATCTAGATTGGGGATTTTTATGCAAATTCATATTTCTATGAATGTAATTTAAAAAATAGAAGCTGGATAGGCAATTGTTTTATTTACTAAATATCTTTGCTTATTATATGCATTCTGTGTATATTTGTGTCTTCAAATTTTCTACGAATGCATAAAAATTCGCAGGCTACTAATTTATATGAAATTGAGCACCTTGAAATTATCACACTAAATGGAACCAAATTCATTTCTACAGATATTCAAAGTTGCTATGGAATAGCTAAAGAATGTTATCGAAAAGAGTTTGTTTGCAAATTTTTCAATATCACACTATTTCACTGATAATTGATTTATAGCGTTTCCAACGTTTTCATGCAACTGCAAGTTCCTCTTATGAGGTTCCTTTCATTAGGAAAATAGACATACCGAACGAATTAGAATAAAAATGTCCTCAGCAAAATTGAACCCTTTCGTTGTTATAGGCGCCCAAAAATTTCCATCCTTAGTGAACTTTCACCTTAATTAAACAAAACAAATTTTGATACCATACAGCCAAAGTAAAATATTTTTTACAGTCTTACTTGAATATCTATCATTTGCCACAATCTACCGCAGCGAAAGGGTTAAAGAGTGAACGTTTTCATTCACAATTCGTTCTATCTAATTTGAAAGGTTACCGCAAATGAGATTCAAGTTAAATTTGTTTCACTCACAGTGAACTATCAGCCGCCACGTATCCTCCAGCGCGCTGTTAGGTATAACTGGATTCTCCGCCCGACAGGTCAGATATTTCCCGTCGTCTTCCATGGTCGGTACGTAGTTCAGCGAACTCTCCGTGAGGTTCGGACTGAAGGAAAACTACGAAGAACTCAGAATCTAAGCTCGCGCGTATCCTCTGTCGTGAGCTATATCGCGGATATCGTGCAGCGTGGAAAATGAAAAACTAGTCGCGGGATAGATTGTGAAAAATGTTCTACTCACATTTATGATATGTGTCGTGTGTTTGACCTGGTGGTTTTCCTTCCACCAGGGGATCACCTGGTGGTTTCCCTTCCACCAGGTGATCACTGCCTCTGGCCTGGAACCCGAAGCGGCGCATTCAATTTGGTACGTTCTTAACACCGACACGTGCGCTTTTTTGTTGGTAATATTCACTACGAACGGTTTCGCTGGAATTCGAAGGAAGTTGTTGAATCGATATGAGATGCGGAAGCATATGTTTCGCAACGAAGCTTCTGTGAATGTTTCAATGCGTTTTCAATTCAATTCCAATGAAAAATGGAAAATTTAAGCAGGTGGAAGCAGTATCGAAATATTCTCTTCGATTTTGTTTCATTGATAAGCAAACGTATCTTTTATATTTTCCTAGCGATGACTAGGAAATATTTTAGAATGCGACAGTATTTAAATATTTTTGGTTAATTAAACTGTCGTGTTTGTTTTGAAGGAAGGTCTCCAAATTAATTTCACGAAAATAGAAGATAATAGTTTAATTGGGGAACGCTTTTTTATTTACAGAAACTTGTTTTTTTTTTATCATTCCATTGCAAGTGTAAGAGGTTCAGCCACGTGGTATCAGGTATTACGCGATAATAATTAATGGCCTATTGAGGCACGTGTAATATTGCAAATAGAATAGACTTTTTTATTTTTATTATCATTTAATCTCACGATATATGATAGTCATTTCTACTTTTCTTCTCAAACTTCAATCCACTGTTTTGCACATATATTTATGCAATAAGTGCTATTTTGTTTAATTATTTTCTTTCATCTTTCATATTGCGTTGTTTTTTCTATTACGCCAAAAATGCGAGTCACAGCATTATAAATAATAGAAAACTTATTTCTATACGTCTAGGAAATAATTTACTCAAAAAAAAAAAAAATTGATAATTTTTGGCATCGCAAGTTAAGAAAAATGTGAGCGTTAAGTGATTAATTTTCCATATTACGGCAAAAATGCGAGTTACAGCATTATAGATAATAGAAAACTTATTTCTAAACGCCTAGAAAATAATTTACAAAAGAAAAACTAAATTTCGTAATTTTTGGCACCGCAAGTTAAGAAATATGCAAGCGTTAAAGGGTTAAATCTCCAAATATTCCCACCCATCCCAAGAATATTACCATTAAAAATTCCCCTTGTACCCTTTTTCAATGCTCATCCCACTAAAAATAATTCTGCACCAAAAATACCATTCAGTTTACTTAATTTCCAAAAAACCAGCCAACAACTTTTTCTACACCGTTCGTTTATTCAGTATGGTTGAACGTACGTTCTCCCCCTATTTCTACATCCGAACCAGAAACGCACATGAATCTGAGATTCAGGCTACCGTAACGTGTGCTTGGATCCCGTATATTTTCTTGCCGCAACCGCAAATTTCCAGTTTTAATCACTCGCCGACCGAAAGTCGAGTTAAGGCAAATTGGTCGAAGCGGTGAATACAAAAGTTGGTGCGATCAGTAACAACCATAGGGTAAGGGTGTGTGTA